GAGAGAGAGAGAGAGGCAATCTTTGAGTTGGTGGTGCATTGTTGTCATTTCAGGACCTTTGCTGTTTTGATAGTTGTCCCAAATGGTTTTTTACAATTTTTCAGAGAAAATCTATAAACTACTGTCAGTTTGAGAAGATGATGCAACGACCATCATAAGAAGTTGCTGGTTTTTAAGATAAATATATAAACTACTACCACTTTTTAGAAGATGGGGCAACCATCATATTCCAGGACAATGAATGCACCTCCATTCTCTCCATGAATGATCCATTATCTAACCAGTGGTGCTTTCTTGTTTATTTAGAGAGAGAGAGAGAGAGAGAGATATATATATACATTTCTACTTCCTTTTTTACCTTCCCAAAACATGTTTTTTTTTGTCATCACTTTTTTTCTCCTCTTCAGTTTGTTTTGTTGACTGGGAATTGTAACTGGTAGTTACTTTTGTCTTCTGGCACAGAGTTGTCTCGGAATTTGGAACTGGTAACCCAAATCTCACGACCCTGCTTTCTGAGAACTTGGAAAAGATGATCAAAAGGAGGCAGATCACCTGCATTTGAATTAATTTCAATTGTATATGTATTTTAGTTAATTTTTATCCTCCTCTTTAAATGTGGTTAGTTTTTATCTTCGCATTTATTGGTTATACTACTGTCCCGAATGACTGAATTACGGTCAATGAAGCAGTTCTGTAATCTTGTAACTATGCCATCATTTATAAAAATTGTGATTTTATCATTATAAAAACAGTGAAAATCTTGTGTATTCACACCTATTCTTCCTCTTTATTTTTGTCATTTTATTTGCCATTTTGAGCAAAACGCACTGGTCCTAACCGGAGTCTGTTGTCCTCATTACTGAAATTATCATGGAGAGCATTAAAAGGAGTTTGATTTGTGTGTGTGAGAGAGAGAGAGGGAGAGAGAGTCCTTTCTTGTTAGAGGAGAGAGAGTCTAGGAGAGAGTCATTTCTTGTTAGAAGAGAGAGAGAGATTCCTTAATCCAATTCATCTCTGGAATTTGCTTTTTGAAACTAAAATACTTGGTTCTGTTATTCCTTTTCCAATCGTGATGAAACGTTGTTAGGTTTCCATAATTGCCTGGCCCACTGGTTCGTATTTTCTTCTTATTTCGTATTTTCTTCTTATTAGCTACCCCCCCATGCAAATAACTCAAAAAAACATTTAAGCGAAAACCACTGTGAAGAGGGATTCATAAAATTGATCCAGCCGTCCGCATCTCTCTCTCACGTGAATGGGTGGGTCTATATCGTGGACATGGGACTGCATTCATTCCACTTATCTTGATAAAGGATTATTCGGAAAGAGACCATTTATTTTTTGTATATGGAAGTCACAACTATTCTTACTTATTAGATATCGAATTGAATGGTTTAGGGTGAGTTATGAAGCCTAAAAAAGTGTTTATTTTTTAAAAATTTTGTGTCTAATCAATGACATTATTACAAACACTCATTTTGAAATCTTTGGAACAAGAATAATTGTGACCTTATACAAAAAGTAAATGGTCTCTTTGTAGACCATACCAATTAATAAATGCCCCCTAGTTTGGAGTCGATTTATATTTGGTTGGGGCTTATATAAGTTGTAATCTTAAACAATTATAGTAAGGGCAACTCTAAACTCTGTAAAGAAAAAAATTATGTAATTTCGGTATTGGAAACTCTTATAATAGTCTGAAAATCTATTTTCACACAAATTTAAAGATTTAAAAATGCTGTAAGTTATGCAAATTTATAATACCGGTAGTTCAAAACCTACCGAATTGGATGGAGAGCTGTCGATTTGGATCATGAAGTGTCCGGGACTAAACTGGTTACAGGAAGGTGCCGTTATTGCCTTCCCTCCCTTCCGCCCAAAAACATTACTTTCTTTTATTTTTAAAAATATATTATTTAATGTTATTTCTAGATCCCCTCATCTCTCTCATGTAAACCTCTATTTTAATGTTTTTTAATTTCTTTTTTCTGAATCGACGATTCATACCGATCCTGATTGATGAACCAACAATCCCGTAGTGGACCTCCAAGATTCTGGATATTTTTACAAGCATATGCCTTTTTACCTCAATCGAGGAAAAACTCATTTCTTATTTTTTTAAATAGGGAAATTATTGAACTACATCGATTTAACATCTTACTCATATTTTTTCTGATCTAATTTCAAATAACCCATCGATGGATGATATTTCAAATAGCCCATCAAATAACACTTCAAAATGAGTTATGAACTTTAACCTAGAATAAAATGTCAAGTACTTCAACTCTTAGGTTGTATTATGATAAAGTTATATTTTAAATACCATTTGATAATTCTAAAGGGTTCGAAAAAGTTCGGACCAAATTATCTAAATGTATATTTTGCACCCGCAGGAGCATAATTTATGGGCTATATTATAATAATAATTTGGCTCCCGCGGGTGCATAACTAAATTTGAAACGGACAGGATGTATGGGCATTTGCGTAAATGTTGCGATTTTATCAGACAACCTTTAGGCATATGTTGATTAGGTTTTCTCTTGTCGGCGTTTTACAATAACGAATTCCTTGTGACAAAGGCCACTACACTTGTTCATTTGTTTAGGGGCCGTTTGGACAGATAACCATACCGCAAATTATATTTTTCTCGTAGTCGGCTTATCTTTTTTTCTCTCCACTCCTTGGCAAGGGTAATATAGTCATTTTTATAAAAAAAAAAGTTCACATAAGGTTGAGATCTTATACTACGGAAATAAGGTGCATTTGAAAAACTCACTAGAGAGGGCCGGCACGAGATGCATGAATGTGAAAAGAAAAAAGATTTATACTCTTCTAAATAGTATATCTTATAACGTATTATCTAGACAATATATTTCTATGATTTTTTCGGTGTTCATAGATTTGCTCGATCAACACTATTTTTGAATTTTTAAATTTCATAATTAGATATGAAAATGGAAATGCATCTTTTGGCACAATTTCAAGATGTGCCTTACTTTGATGTTTTATGGCACCAATTTTATAACAACCTCACCATATTTTTATTTAAAAAAAATATTTTGATAAGGCTGTCAAAATAAGTAAAACCTCACAAAAGAACTTTTGGCTTCATAAAACTTTCAAATCCATCATCTTACTGTCATAGTTGTGAAGAAATATTAAGATTTCAAGCCCTAAAAATAATGTATGTTATAATACATTGTATCTAGATCATTCATTTTTGAAGTGTTTATAGATCTACAAGATCAGCACTACTTTTTTAGCTACTAATCTCATAATAAGTGGTGGAGGTTAATTTTAGAGCCATTATTGATCGTTTCCACGCCCAAAACAGTTTTAAGGATGAATGGATCTACCCAAAAATGGATTTCAAGTTTTGAAAATAGTGCATCTTATATGCTCAATTGGACCGTCAATTTTGAAGATTTTCAAGTTTTCATAGATGTATCCAATCTACACTATTTTAATACTTTAAAATTTATAATTAAATATAAAAATATATTTTAAAGCTGTCATGAAAATTTTTTATATGAAAACCACATTTCTCGACACTATTTGAAGGCACGCTTTTTTTGAATTTTTTTTTTCAACAGGGCACGTTGAGATAGGAATAAAGATGGGGTACTTGAGTTTGAAATGTGGAAGACTCCGGGTTATATTTTTTCCATTTATGTGCGACCAGCGTGCTGGTGGAAAGCGCCATTTCTCAGCTCGTCATTTAACTCCTCTCTCTCTCTCTCTCTCTCTCTCGCAATGGCCATGGCTAGGGCAAGCTCCGGCCTGGCTTATCCAGAGAGGTTCTTCGCTGCTGCCGCTTATGCAGGCTTTGGAGGCTCGCAAGACCCATCAAAAGCAGCGATCTCTCATTTCGAAAATGAAATTGCTCTCATACTCTATGCCCTTTATCAACAGGTATTACCTCTAAATTATGAAAATGTACGGGCAAACTGTTTGTCTCTCTTAGTTTTCGTGGATCAATTTGCTCCATTTGGTGGTGTCCCTTCATTTGAGCACTGATTTCATGGAATTATCAATTTTCGGAAGAATTTTTTTATATGGAGTGATTCTTCATGTAATTGAGACAGATCTAGGGTTTTATGAGAAAAATCTTCTGCAAGAGAGTTGGATCTGGGCTATGGCTTGGAATTATGTGTCCTTTTGTTTATTTATGTAACTTTAGCCATTGTTGCATAGGCTATTAGATCAATTTTTGATGTAAGTGGATGTGCTTTGTCTATATTCAAGATGAATTGTGAGATAGAATTGATGCATTTCGCTGTGAGGCCTAATTTGGTTCTGGCGCAATTTCTCGAAATTGTTGCAAGAAAGTGGAAATTGTTGTGTTACGCACCAGATCATCTTCTAAAGTGTAGTAGTATTTTTACAGGCTACTGTGGGACCTTGTACAATTCCAAAACCCCGAGGGTGGAACCCTGTTGAAAACAGCAAATGGTCAAGGTTAGCCTCTCTTTCTGTCTCTCAATTTTAAATTGATAGGTTCGTATGTCATTATTTATTTTTTGACCGCTCGTTTGTGTCTTTTTTTGCCAGTTGTAGTCTTGTTGGTTGAGTTCGTGTGTCTTAAGGTGTTGGTTGTATTGTTATTTTGATAATTTTTTTGCTTATTGATATTGGTAAGTACATCACTAAACTGAAGCACTGCTTTTGCAAGTTTCTTCGTGCAAATGCAGTAACTAGGCAAACTACTGCACCTTAGGTATGATCTTTATTAGCTAAACGTCAAGAGAATTTTGTAGGTTTTTAAACTTGAAATGTGTCAAATTTGAGTCTCTTTTGGTATTGTGGAAACCTTCTGGATCCAAATGAAAACTTTGGAATATTAATGGTTGTCGAATTCATAGTGATGGGTTACCAATTAAAGAAAGATGAGTGATGGGTTACCAATTAAAAGAAAGATGGAATTCTTAGAGATGCTTGAGATCTCATGGCACATATTTATGCAACATTTTCCTTGTTTCCACCTTATTCTTAAGTAGTGTTTGACCAAGAAGATCCATTCCTATACTAGCACATAATTATGGTTCTCAAAGGCTAGAAACAGACCAACATGCCATTAGCTGAAGGACTTCTCGAATTTTGACATTCATGGTACTCAATAAAGACTAGATGCGGAAGAACATGCCGTTATCTGAAGGACTTGTCCTAGGCGTAAAAGCATATACAAGGCAAAACAAGTAATGTACTGGACTTTCTTTTATCCGCCATTATGGTGCTTACCAATGACTTTATGGAATTTCAGAACTTTATTGCAGTCTCCTGAGTCCTGACTAGCTCATAAATGCATAATTGGCTCACTTCCATCATATATTGACCTGCAATGAGTTTTATTTTGCATTTTCTAGGGTCTAGTGGGGAAGTAAATTGGTTTTGTAGTGTGGCTTTTGCTTTCGTATAATCCAGAATTTTCTTTCTTGTGACACCCTTGTAATCCAGATTGTTCTTTTTTGTAGCTGGCACGGGCTTGGTACCATGGCATCAACTGAAGCAATGCGCCTTTTTGTGAAAATTTTGGAGGTACATATCTTGTTGGTGGTTTCATTTTTAATTCAGTGATTTTTCATTATCCTTTTTAATGATTTACATCTTTGCTCTAATAGGAGGAAGATCCAGCTTGGTACTCGAGAGTGCCCGAACATGTTGTTGAACCTGTTGTGGATGTTCAAACAAATGTAAGTTTCTTGAATTTAAATATCAATAGTTGAATTTGAACTTTATCTATTTAAATCTACTCATACAACAGGTTTGCCTCTTCATCTCTTTTCCTTATTTATTGGTCACGGTTACATTACATTTTAAACAACATGAAATGCTTCCTAATCACTCCCTTCAATTCTTATACAAGTACCCTCAGAACGAGGAGATAGTTAGCTTCTTTGTACTGAAAGTTGGAAATCTTTTTGGTAACCCAAACTAAGTCCTGGCATAGAGCCAGCCTGCAGTTTGAACTATATTGATGGGTGATTGTACTGCCTTACAAATTGAAGGTTCTCTATCTTGATTTACGATGCATAACATAGTACAAGATATCATTCATTAAAGTGGAGGTTGTATATGAGTGCCATGCCTTGGTGATGCCTTGCTATACCATCAACTGAGTAGAATGTGTTTATCATGATTTTGAAAGAATGGATGGCAGAGGTTTCCCTTGTTGTAACGTCCCAATGTGCTGAAAGTTGCCTCTAGGTTTCCATAATATATTATTGAAACACAGTTAGATAAAAATGCTCTAATCCACCATGTCCACTTATTCCCGCACCCCTTTCTCTGTTACCTAAGATCTTGGATATGTGAACCAGACATGTCTAGATTCTTTCTTGATGTGCAGGAAGATATCTGCCAGTTGTTATGGATTTCTGTGGAGTTCTAGAGAAATTATGGATTTGTGAAATTCTGTTGATGGGTGGAGTTTAGAGAGCCTCCTATATATTGGGGAAAGTTTTTCGTCGTGCTCAGTATACATCTGTTGATTGCATAAATGGATGTAATAGATTTGTTTCTTTATAATTTTGTTAAGCATCTGATGATTCTTAATTATCAAAAGAAAATAGCAAAAGAAAATTTCTGAAATTTCAATTGATAGAAGAAAACCTTTGCTGATAATTTTACAAAATAATAGACTATTAACTGAACATGTTAAAAATGCTTTTGGAATATCTTTTACTAAATTTGGATAGCCCAGAATTTATAGTAGGCTTGCATGTTTTATGATAAAGCCTCTTCGGGGCCATAAGGGAGTCAATCTCTTGATGGTTACTTGAATGAATCCATTATTTCAGTACTTGAAAATAATGATACGAAAACAAGTTGTCCAGGAACTATAAAGAAAGAGGCATGTAGACATTCATATTTGGTTTCTGAGATTAGTTGCAGAAACTATTTTATTGCTCTGTCTGATATACCTGACTACACTTCTTTGACTTTGTTTCCCTTTATATATGACTGCAGACTGCACCATTAGAATCTGTCCTGCAGACTACATCTTCAAAGTCAATAACACCAAATGGTGATTCTTTTCCAGAGTCAAAGGCTGCTTCAGTAGAAAATGGAAGTCATTCAGAGACCCAGGACAAAGATGTTGTTTTGGAAGGCTTGGGATCAGTTGGGATATACGATCAGTGGGTCTCACCCTCTGTATCTGGCCAACGTCCAAAACCCCGTTATGAGGTTTGAATTTTTGAAGCAGTGGATCCTGATTCTTACTTTTAATCGTCTTTTTAGTTCATGTGACTATTTGTAACTTGGTAATTACTGTGAAATTATTAACACTTCAGCATGGAGCAGCCATAGTCCAGGACGAGATGTATATATTTGGAGGAAATCATAATGGTCGTTACCTTAATGATCTTCAGGTATCGTTTTACTCTCTAGAGGATGTTCACATGTGTTCTATGTTGAGATTTTGTTTGTGATCATAAATAATGTGTGGTTTAACTGATGATTCCTTGAACACCTTGTCACATAAAAATAAATGGGTCATCGAGGCCCAATTAATAAAAAAGGAATGCAAATTTCACCGATCCTGCAGGATCATTTTGAAAATAAAATATCCTTTAGACATTTCTCTTGGGATCTGAATTTTTAAAATTTACTACATACAGAAATATTGTACTCTCATGGTCTCATCTATTAACTACTGGGTAGCAATTACTTATGAATTATTTCAGGTTTTGGATTTGAAAACTCTAATGTGGTCAAAAGTTGAGGCTAAGTTTGCAACAGAGTCTCAGGAATCACCTATGACCTTACCACCCTGTGCTGGTCATTCCCTGGTCAGATTATACATCTTATCCTGTTCCATATTTCCCTTTTTTTCTTACATGTCTTTAATGGTTGACTTGCATTATTTGAAAGCTGATGTAAGTTTACATCTTTCTTGTACAGATTGCATGGGGAAATAAGCTTATTTCTATTGCTGGCCATTCCAAAGATCCTTCAGAGACTGTAACAGGTGGTTTGTTAGCCCCTTTTTTTTTGGTTACCTTCCCTAATAGTTGAGGCCTCTTGTTTTTGCTGCAATGCTGCAAATTCAATTTAACTTTTCCTGATTTGACAGTCAGGGAATTTGACATACAGACATCCACTTGGTCGTTCTTAAAGACGTATGGCAAGGCTCCAGTATGTACTCTGCATACTTTATTTTGAATATTATTGCACCTCTAATTGATTTTTTCTTCAAGAGACCTTGTGTTTTTTGGAACTCAATTGAGGCTAGCATGACAAGATAGACACGAGATTTCAAGGATACTCAACCTTGGGCATTTAGTTCTAGGGGTTGCATTTTTTTCTCGCACTCTTTCTTTTCATGGAAGGGTAAAGAAAACCTCAGCTCCATATAATACCCATTTATCATTGAAGACTTGGGGAAGTGCAACTATAAAGGAAGTCCCTTCATCACTGTGGACTTCTGCCATAATTGTTTGGGATGCGCAATTGTGAAACTTCAGCTCAATTATTGGAGTATTTATCATTGGTTTGTCCACCTTTGAGATATCAGGTGTATCATAACCATTGGGAAACAAGTACTCATTGAAGACTTGGGGAAGTGCAACTATAAAGGAAGTCCCTTTATCACTGTGGACTTCTGCCACAATTGTTTGGGATGCGCAATTGTGAAACTTCAGCTCAATTATTGGAGTATTTATCATTGGTTTGTCCACCTTTGAGATATCAGGTGTATCATAACCATTGGGAAACAAGTATTAAAGTAAAAAGAACAATGACCGCCATGAATGATTTCAAAATTATGGTGATAGTTTTATATATTGTGTTGATAAGGGGCATATATTGGATATATTTATTATTTTGTATTGTATTATCATAACTATTGGGAAACAAGTATTACGAAAAAGAAAGAAAAGCGTAACCACTGAGAAGTGTTTGAATATTTCTGGAGGGAGATTTATGAAATGGTAGATTTCCTACTATTGATTTTTATGGAGCTGTTAAGTGATTCTTTTAACTCCGGATGTGATTTGTCTCACAGGTATCTCGTGGTGGTCAGTCAGTGACCCTCGTTGGATCGAGCTTGGTTATATTTGGGGGTGAGGACCCTAAAAGATCTCTTTTGAATGACCTCCACATTCTTGACTTGGAAACTATGACATGGGATGAAATTGATGCTGTGTAAGTTTATTCTGGAAACTCTTGGGTTCAATAAATGTCTGGTTTGCACTTATAAAAAACAAATATGTTTCATTTTCCTTCTAACCTTGTCTGTGAAGAGCTTGAGGCCAAGATTTGCAACACCATTTTTCTATTTTGAAATTTAAGGCCTTATATTTCTTTTAAATCCCTGCATATAATGAATGAAACTCATATGTAGACTAAAGACTGCTCATTGGGCAGTATTCAAATCACTAACATCCGAGTAAATGAGATTCTGCTCTAACGGCCAACAAATATGGCCAAGTCGCTAACACATTTCAGATGAGCTCTTTTTATCTTTATTATAATAATTTTTTAATTTAGGAGCAAGATTGGTCTCTCTCTCTCTCTCTCATATATATCAGAGAGAGAGAGAGAGAGAGAGCGAGCGAGAGACCATGTATATAAATATACAATGAGACCATTTATCTTTGGTACAAAGTGATCACAATTAATCTTGATTGTTGAATGTGAAATTGAATGACTGCATTTATTCTATTGACCAAGCTCAAACTTCAAAAGAAATTTTCTCAAGTTTTGTGACACACCCAAACTATCAGATTTCGCGTCCGATGCTTATAAGTAAATGTGACCTCTTTGTATCAAAGGTAAATGGTCTCATTGGATAAAATCCCTATATAGTATATCTATGAGATATAAATGTATGTGTGTGTGCACGGGCGTGCGTGTGCCTGTGTGCACTTGTTTTAACTGTACACTTAACTCTTATGAGTTTGAACAAGTCAAACTTCGCATTGTAGATGGAAGGCTCCTTGTTTTAGGTTTGATACCACCCTGGAAATGGATATCAGGTTTTTTGACTCAATCCTGCAATTTAAGTATCTGAGAAATGTGGTTTCTTTGGAATGCACCCATATTTTTCCCCTTGTATCCATTACTTCTTTCCTTTAACTGCATTCCCTTGAAGTTCCCTTGTTTCCTGACAGTTATTTGGACCAGTATCTCATTTATTCATGCCATTCTTCTTTGTGGCCGGTAGTAATTTCAATTTCCTGAGTCACGTGTTTTATTTTCTTTTTGAAGTTTGAATCTTGTCTTGTTGTTTTCTACCGTTTCCAGCATCAATGTCCTGAAGCCATTTTCTTTCTGGCAAGTATACTCTGTTCTCCCTCAGGTGCTGCATGATATTAACCATGGTCTCCAGCACCTGAAATTTGGTGCAAACATTTTGTTTGGCACCATTTGGTACTATTACCTTATCTGGTTGCTGCTCTTTTACTTGTATTTGATAATCCCATGTCGATTCCATGGTTATGTGACGTGTATTCCATAGTCATTGTGCTGTTTTATGTCTTCTATTGTTGTGCTGTTTTGTCTTCTATTTTGTGCTGTTTTTATGTCTTCTATTTTTGTGCTGTTTTATGTCTTTTATTTTTGTGCTGTTTTATGTCTTCTATTTTCCGTAATGTTCTATATTTCGCCTATTGCAACTGGCACTCTCCACGCCATTGGTTTTGGGCCCTGAAAACAGAAATACTTTTCTCACTGTGAGTCTCCAACAAAAGTGAAATAATAATTTCATTATTTCTGTCATGCATTGGTATCTCCTTAGAATAATTGCTAGCTGACTTGTAGTCTAGTCCAGTAGGAATATGAACTCTTTTATGCCATTAAGACATCATATTGGAAATATCCAGTTCGTCCCTATCTATTGATAGTTGATACAAATGTGTAAAGCAATGGCATAAAACTAATAATCCTATGTTTTTGGCCCCACAACTTATCTTTGTAAACTTATTTTTCTTGCATTTGACCTGCAGGGGTGGGCCGCCATCTCCAAGGTCCGATCATGCTGCAGCAGTACATGCTGAGCGGTATCTTCTGATATTTGGTGGTGGATCGCATGCAACCTGTTTCAATGATCTCCATGTTCTTGATATGCAGAGTGTAAGTGAATTGATTATGCAATAGGTCACGATTGCAGACAGTAATTGTTGAATTTAATTTGGGTTTGTCTCATTCTAAACTACTTTTTCCTCTTTTCTTGAATATTATATTTGATGCAGATGGAATGGTCAAGACCGACACTACAGGGTGCTATACCAACTCCACGAGCTGGGCATGCTAGTGTCACAGTAGGAGAAAACTGGTTTATTGTTGGTGGAGGTGATAACCAGAGCGGTATGTGTTCTCTGGGAGTATACTCCAATTTTACTGAATAAAAGAATCGAGTATTGACACATCTATTTCACTTGCCCTGCTTGCCATGGTTTATAGCAAGCATTCAAGGGCAGTGGGCCTTGCTAAGTCTGGCTTGAATTTAATGTTTCAGCTATAATTAAAAAAAATTCTTCCTCTCTTCGAAAATGATGTATATTTTTAACTTTGATTTGGTAAACATGGGCTTCACCTTTCTAATCAAATGACTGAAATAGACCTAGGACAAAAAATAAAAAAAAGGTCAAGACATTTCAAGATATTCTTTTTCTTGATTTAATGATGAGACACATCTTCCCTCTATTCTGAAGTTTACAACATTATCTGGATTTCGAGGATTGGTGATACTATTGTCAATTGTGAAGATTATTAGTTTATGGATGTCAAAGGTTTTTTTTTTTTTCCCAGGTAAGTGATGTTAAAGGGCATTTCGAAGTGGGAATTTTTGTTTGTTTGGATTCTGAAGAATTTGATTTAGGTGAAGCTGGGTTGTCCTGTGTCGTTCCAGATTTGACAAAAAGCCAAAAACATTGTGTCAATGCCCCAGAGAAAAACATCATACTATTTTTTTATAGTGAAAATAGAAAATACAAGCCATATTTTCTGTCCCATGCAGAAGATTGGTTTTTTGATATGTTAAATTTTGCTCTTCTGCTTATTTTGCAGTATGTGTCTAATGTTGACTTATCCTGCAGTATGTACAAAGTGTTTTCGGTTTTCTCTTTCCCCATAGAAGTGAAGGAACGGCTAACGCGTCCACATATTTTTGAGAGTGCCAGTTTTCTTGGTGGTGTGTGTGTGTGTTTATATATAGGGTGAGATTATTATAAGGTGTCAACCTTAAGGTGTACCTCAAAAATTATGACTATGCCAAAAATGCAGTTTCGGTGCCTCAAAGCCTTGCAATGATATGAAAATCTATTGTTTCCTCCTATTGTGAAATTTGGAGTTCCAGAAATGACGACTATCAAGCAGATCTATTAACTCTTGGAAATAGACGGTCCAGATAATGTGTTAGAAGATGAACTATTTTTAGGACTAGAAATCCGCTTTTTTTCATGTCTATGAATCTCAAGGTCGAGATGACCGATTTGAGGGTTTTCCAGCATAGCAACAACCTTCTCTAGTGGGTTTTTTAGGTGCACTTTACTTGTACAATATAAGGTTGGCACCATATATAAACTTTGCCCTTATACATAGTCTTAAATTTCACTATTTGGCATAGTCTTAAACTTCACTATTTGGCTGATTTTGTCGTTGTTTTCAGGGGTCTCTGAGACTGTTGTCTTAAACATGTCGACTCTGGTTTGGTCTGTTGTGACCTCAGTGCAAGGACGTGTTCCACTTGCAAGTGAGGTAAAATTACTATGATGCAATCTTTGACATTTTACTTATTGTGGAGGAAATGATCTCAGAGGCTCGATTAGATATTCATTTCTGTAAATACCAGAAATTAAATGTCATGGGAGGAAGAAGCAGCCATGGAGAAGGCCTTGTGAATGTTTTTTATTTTTTATTTTTTTGTTTATGCTCTTACCTTGTCCATGCACTGTTATTTGCTTGTTAATTGGCAATTGCAGTAGAAAGTGGGTGCACCAAAATGGCAGTTGCTGTGGGTGACCATAAGGATTTGTTAAATGGAAAAAAATGTTTGTAATAATATGCACGCATCACATGCATATGTTAATAGCGCGTGCCTTGAACATGAATACTAGTTTCTAAAATCAATAGCAAAAAGCAATAAGAAACTCTATTTGAAAGTACACAAAAGATATTCATTATTTATTTAGATTTTCTTTTTGGGTAGCTCAGCCTGAAATCTGGATGTGGGGTGTAGTGTTGCAATCATGAGCACTTCTAAGTTTGACCTATCCAGCTAGTGACTGACCCAAATATCATTTGGATTATATCTTGAACAATTAGGGTATTTCTCTCTTTCAGGAAAATTGTCATGGCTAAGATCATAATTAAAGATTATGACAAAAGAAAGTAGGAAGCATCTTTATTTGGGGAAAAATTTGAAGATGAATAAAACGACTTCTAAAACGATTGAGGACCTATGGAAAGAATCATGAGAATTCACGTACTTTATTCCATAAGGAAGCAAAAGGAGAAATGTAACTGCACAAAAAAGGCATTCAATTTTAGAATGAGATTTAGCCACTTGTTATTTTGTGGTCTTTTTATTTTTATGTCCTCTTTCTCCCCCTTATTGTAAACTTGGATGCCATGAGAAGGACTTTGCCAGATCGATGGAAGTTGCAAAGACGGAATCTAATGCTCTTCTGGCAATTACTATGTTTTTGGACTCTCTGATCTCATGCTTATGAAAGCAAAACTCTTTGATTCATGGGGCTGTGGGCCTATTCCATGCGGGTAGGTGGATTTGCAATTGTGGGGATTCGAGACTTCATCTAGTTTATGGATGTTTCAGAGCCAAAGAAGCTAATTAAGGAGCTGATCCTCTAGATAACGTGGGGAGTCATGGGTCGAGTTGAGTGTTTGGTGTATTGTTTTTTGTAATTCTATGCCTCTGATACTCTTCATTGTCCTAATCCGGTGCAAAAATTGTTTCTATAAAAAATTGCTTATCTTTATTAACTAGATGTACTTTGGAGGAATTTCTTAATGGCAATCTGGAAGTTGGCAAAAATTGTGCCATAATATAGTTGTCTCAGAAAGTTTGAGGTAGTTCTTTTCTTAGCTATGTAGATGAAAGTATTGCTAGAGAGAAAACCATGCTCCTTGTGTAAGTGGGGTTTACTCAAGTGTAGAGCCTGTTGTTTCTTTTTCTTTTCTTTTTTCCCTCTTTTGTTCTTTTTTTTAATGGTAATTGAGGCTGATGTTTCCATTTGATAATGAATGTCAACTTGATGAAGATTCGGGCTTGGTCTTGATTGGCTGAGGAGTTTGCTTTTGCAACACACTGTCCCAAGTTTGGATCATACCTCTGAACTACCCAAAATAATGTTCTGTTGTTACAAAAAAAAAAAAAATTGTCACCTTGATGTTTTCTTCTAATTGTTAATTGATGACATTAAGTTTCTGGTCTGTTCTGAGGCAAGGTTTGGTTTGATTTAAATGTTACCAGTTCTTATCTGGCAGGGTTTAAGCTTAGTTTTAAGCTCATACAATGGTGAGGACATTCTGGTTGCTTTTGGAGGGTACAATGGGAGATACAGTAATGAGGTTGTTGTAATTCATTTCGATGTTTGTATTTTTTTGTTCTTATTACGACAGGTGGTGATCTATTCTTCATTATCAGGTTCATGTTTTAAAGCCAAGCCATAAGTCAACTTTACAATCAAAGATAATGGAGACCCCAGTGACAGACAGTGTGGATCCTCTTCTTCCCACTACTACCAATGCTACGAGGGACTTCGAATCTGATCTTGAAACTGCTCAAGATGGGAAAATAAGGGAAATTGTCATGGACAATGCAGAATCAAAGCCCGTGGTAACTACAACAGTCGCATGCTTTCAAGGACTTTTTAGTATCTCCACATTTTTTATGATTTATTTTCAGAATTCCAATCTAGTGCAGCTACTAATTTTCAGCAGGTTGTATCTCTACATTTGCATTTGTATGCGTTTGTGTGTAACTGTGACCTGCCTAACCCAGTGCAGGCTTCAACTTTTGATTACTTATCTTGCTTTTCATCGAAGGTTCAATCATGATTGATGGATTTATGTTGCATTATAGATCAATGATATCTTTCGAATTTTAGTATGCATCATTGATGCCATGAATATCTTGTTTTCACATAATATGAAAAAAGGTGATGTGGCAATTAATATGCTTTTGCAGAATATTAGAGAGACTGGCGAGCAAATGCTTGAAACTCTCAAGGCAGAGAAAGAAGAACTGCAAGCAGCTCTCTCCAAAGAGGAGGTGCAGAATCTCCAGCTGAAGCAAGAAATAGCTGATGCGGAGACTCGAAATCTGGATCTCACGAAGGCAAGCTTCTACAACGCATACTACAATAAAAAGAAATTATCTATCAAAGGAAATTTTCAAAAAAAACATATCTATCAAAGGGAAAAAAAATAAAAATGATGTAGTTTTATCTGCATACTTGGCCTTTGCGACCGAGTAATCAGTTCTCCTATGGATTGTCTTGTAACTATCATATACCAAATAATGTGACTTTCACTATGATTTACCATGGTGTGTAACTCCTTGAAAATAAATACAAGTCAACGATCAAATAGAAGAAGAAAAAAGACACACATTCTCCTCCCCCCCCCCCCCCGCATGTATTTTTTTCTTTTTTCATAAATTTGTATTCAAAACTATGTTCTTGTTGGACGCTAGGAGGCTTTTTCCATAATTATTTGAGAAACTTACGCACCTATCCCTCGAATTTCTGTTACTTCAATAATCTCCCTGAAATTTATTCTTTAATGTTTGAACCCATTTTCTTTGAATTTTAAATTTTTGATCAAATTGCCCCTACTTCGGACCTTCAAAGTCTGGAGTGTAACTTATGTATCAATATGCTTCCAGATATACACTTGACTCGTACCTTCAACGTTTTAATTTGGTCCAAAAACAAATGTAGGACTTTGAAGGTCCGAAGTTGTTCCAAAAACATATCGTGGGGCTCCCAAGGAGAAAAATTTAACTAATTACAAACTTCGGACCTTGGAGGTCCGAAGTTTGTCCTTGAAGTTCAAAGTAAAATTTGGACCGAAGATAGTTTTTGGAACTGTCCGAGATTGCACTTCGGGTATTGGGTTAACTTCAGGCCTTAAGATCTAAAGTGTGTTTTTGGGAAAGATTTGGTCCTTGAAAGTCCAAGTTAAGTGTATGAAAAACACTTACCAAAGCTTTAATCCTAGAGTTAAATTTTGAACCTTTAACGTCTGAAGTAGGGGCAATTTGGTCAAAAAATGTAAGAAAAAGTGTATGAACGCAAAAACAGAAGTTTAGGGGGGGGTTGGGGGGTGTTTAATTTATGGAAATTTGGGGCATATGCGCATATATATCTCTATTTATTTGGATTGATTTATGATGCAATAAGTCTTTTAATTTCTGCTGTGGTTTTTTTTTAATTTCTGCTGTGGTTTTAATTATATAGGAGCTACAATCTGTTCGTGGTCAGCTTGCTGCTGAGCAATCGCGGTGTTTCAAGCTCGAGGTATGTACCTGGAGACAATATCTTTTTCGAGGTTCTTTTTTATCAAAAACAAATAAAAGGGTCCCATATATTTTTGTTCACAGTTGTTTGAAACACAATTCTTCTTCACATTACAACTGTTGTAAACAGCATAGGTTTTTTCTATTATTATGTAATTTCTAAAATAATCCTGAATTAAATGCTTATACGTTTTGGTTCTCAATGTAAAATAAAAGCCATGTGTCTATGTTCTGTGAAGATGAAGAGAATATCTAGGTTACTGTGTTGTGTGAAGATGTGTGCATGTGTGCATACTAGTGGTAACAGTGTTTGTATGAGTAGTTTTTTGAAGAAATAAAGATGTAATAGTAACTATTGTATTATCCAATAATCTCAACTGGGAATCTAGTGTGCCCTTTTTTCTCTTATGGACAAAATTCAGCAGAAAAGTTCTAAATCGAAATGAACCATTTTTGTCAGTAAAATAGGGCGTTTTACGTTTTTTGCTTGGTGATCTTAAAGGAACAGATCATTTTTTCTAAGAGCCAACATCATCTGTTATAAAAGTGAATGAAACAGAGTAACTGCAAATTAACTTTGTCATGTGTGGGTCCCAGCGCACTTTGGTGATTTGATTATCTTGGAAAAGATCCAGAGGAGACCTCAATCTCTCCTTTTGAAGAAACTTTTATAGAACGATTGCTAATGTCAGAAAACGCAATAAATTCTTGCAAAAGCTGATGTGAGCAAATGCTTCTCAGACTATTTTTTAAAAATTAAGGGGGTATCTTTTTCATTGTTAAAAAATAATTCGTGTAATGAATTTTATTATGATGAGTAAATTTTTGCTATGAGATTTGCATGCAAATGACATGTAGTTTCCATGCAGTAAATTAGAGATCACTTCAAGTCCATTGTCAATACCAGATGGTTGAGATGAACAGTTCTCCCATTATCAGCGGAGCAGTTCCCATCAACCATCTCTTTTGAATTGACATTAATTTACTGTTGTACACATCCCATCAGACCCATGACATTTACCATTATAGTTCATAAACCATTTCTCAAAATATAAATTGCTGTTTCCTTAAATTTTAGAATTCAGTCATGTAATGTTTTCTTTCACCACACACGCAAAGATACACACGTAGAGATAGACAGAGGGGCTAAAGGATCCAAAACAATCTGAGCAGGTTGAGGTTGCGGAGCTACGGCAAAAATTGCAATCAATGGAAACACTACAAAAAGAGGTTGAACTTCTTCGGCGACAGAAGGCGGCATCCGAGCAGGCAGCCCTTAGTGCGAAGAGGCAAAGCTCAGGAGGTGTATGGGGCTGGCTAGCAGGAAGCCCACCTGATGAGAGAACTGATGATGCTTGAGAGTTTACCGACCCAATTATATAACTTTACCCTTTTTTGGCCTTTATGTAATTCACTTGAATGTTTCCCTTGTACTGTATTTTTCTTCTTGTTTCTTTTTCCATACAAATTGCCTTTTTCCATACAAATTGCAATAAGAGAAGATTTTTTTTTCTGGTTTGGCTGCTAGGGTGCCACCATGGGCTGGTCGTAGTTTGTAATATGAGGAACTACAGTTCGTAAGTTGCCCATTGTTACCAGCTGATTTTGTTGGTTGTCATTTAAACATTGAGAAAGAAATATTTTGGGGTGAATTTTGAGGTTTTCTTGTTGATTGAATTTGAGAATCTCTTTTAATGCTACAACCGGGATGTAAAAAGAACCTTTCAGCATTCAATCTTTTCTTTTTTATTTTTTTTCTGAGAACAGTTGATTTCATGAGAGAGGAAAAAGCTTAGTATAGGCCTATTGCACTCAAATATTCTGATGTCTAGTAATGATATGGAGGTGAGAGGTTTTTTTAAAACATGCAAGAAATTATACTCTTTGGCCCAACCGGTATCGGGACCTAGGGCTGTAAATGGGTTGGGCCTGGGTATGGATATTGGGATAGCTGCACTTAGATGGAGTTCAGCTTGTGGTGCAAAATATGTGAAAAAGGATATCATAAGCCCGTCTACTGATGGAACATTATCAGGCAAATAGTTCAAATTCTATCTTACGAACCTAGTTGTTTGATGTATGTATGATTCTATTTTTAATTTCTTTTATCATTTTGATGCATATAAAAATTTACTTAAAGAACTTTATCATAATACCTTTGCCAATCCTGACCATTGAATGGTTTAATTTATGTATACAAGTCGGACCAACCGCAACTTCTCCTGCCTCAATCGGTCAATCTGACTAATTCCCCCACCCAAACCCCCCCACCCACCCATGTTTCTTACAACAACGGTTTGGAGAATCCTTGAATCATTGTTCTTGTACATCAAGATCAATGCAAAAATTTTGACAGGGATGAAGAGCCAATATAACAATAAATCTGCTAAAAACATGGAAATAACGTCACTCAAGAGAAATATGAATAAATCCCAATTAAAGATGTTGTACAAATAACTATTACAGTTCCTTCTAGTCATAATCTCTCTCTCTCTCTCTCTCTTTCCCACGTGCGAACGTCACCAAAAGATCTCACATTTTTGTGGTGGGAGAGCCTTCATCTTCCAGAAGCTTCTCTCATGGATTGGTGCTCTAGATACAAAATTACAGATACAATTTTCTCACTAACATGTCAAAATGAAGGAGAACCTTACTCCTCAAAAATGTTCTTAAAAAATGGCTCTCATGTTAAGTGAGAAATAGAACGAAGGCTTAAGAGGCAATGAATGTGAAGAATTGGAGATTTGCATTATAAGGAAAAAAAATGAAATGGCAAAAGAATCAGAGCTATGTCATGTCAAAATGGACTCTAACCAATCTGATGTGTATTCGTACGCCACAAAAGTGACCGCCCCAGCTGGGGCTGCCTTGATAATAGAAGGGACGATGCCTTTGTAAAGACCGGCCCAACCCTCAGCTTGCACTATACCGCGTAAAGCATCCCACATGTTCTTGTATGCATGACTCTCAACCCGGGCTCCATATTTTGGGTGTCTTTGCAGCCCTTCAATCTGTAGTTGAAGGATGAACAAAATTTAATAATTCATGTCAACTGTTGAAATCATTGTGCAATAAGCAACATCAACCAAAAAATTACACACCAATCAACCAAAAAAAAAACAACATTTATGCCTCAAGTGAAAATGCAAATACTTGGGTGTCTTTGGGTCAGTGTGCATGTGAAAAATACAGATCATGAAGGAAGCATATGTACCACACACATGCGCGCACACACATATGCAGAGGAATTGATTGTTGGGCATTACAAAATGGGTTCCTCATTATGGATATGACAGTTAATATAATGGTGTGAAGTAGCAAGAATGGAGAACTGACCTGAAATCTTTTCTTGACTACATCAAGAGGGTGACAGACGGCTTTGGCACACGTCCCAGCTGCTAAGCCACAAAGAAAGAGCTGGAAGCTTGAGAGGCTGTCATCAGATGGGGATCCATTGGGTTGCCCATACCTTAGGTGGTTCCATCCCTGCATAACGCACATAATTAGTAATTTTTTTATGGGGAACCCGTTCACTTATCACAAAAGATTATTACAGTACCCATCTACCTCAATGACCAAAAAGCAATTGATTTTGTTAATAGTCAACATAATTAGATTTTATGATTTTGTTAATAGTCAATGATGCAGAGATTAGGAAAATTCAATATTATAGTGGTATTACTTCTTTCTGTTTATTTTTCTTAAAAATAGAAAGCGCGCTTGGATTAGCTAGGTTAGGTGGGAGAGGCATGAGTTTTTAGTAGGGGCCTGAGTTTTAGTAGGTGCCTGAGTTGTCACCCAGGAAGGCCTATCTATTGGTTTAGGAAATAGCTTATCTTTTAAGATAAGTAGAATTATTTTTTATTATCTTTTAGAAAGAGAAGACAACATGAGGCTTAGAGAGATAGATGGAGATAAAGATTTATGCGAAAGTTAGAGTGAGAGAATAAGGGAAAATGAAAAGTGGTACCTAAGTTAGAGAGAAAGATAGTTTATTTTTTTTACGGGTTTTTATATTTATTTATTTTATATTTCTTTCAAGTGTAGTTAAAGGAGAGATGTCCCTTCATTGTATAGAAGAGATAATTGGATTTGAGTAAAGAACTCGGTCTTGTGAAAAGATCTTTTAGGGTGGACTCCCTTGCAGACTCTGAGAGAGTATACATTCTCTCAAACTTTTATTTTATTTTTATTTTATGATTTGTTAGTATTTCTCCTTGCATCAGTCAACACACCTAGCGTTTACTTAGTTGGCTATTACATATGATAATATTTAGCAGGAACAACTTCTTGACCCAAGAAAGACTCGTAATCTACAGGAATTTGGGGTAAAGGAACACTCCCACATTTAAAATGGGCTTTGCTCACTTAGAATTCCATTGTTAAAACTGAACAGAAGGTACTTCAAGTAAAGAATTTAGAAGTAATCCGATAAGTTGCAGTTGTGAAGATGTGGTATTAATATGGAAAATAAAATGGTTAGAAGGTGGAATTTTTGCAAGTTCTTTAAGAAGCCACGCCTCAAATCAATCAAATAGTAAGGGAAACCCAAGATTTTCGTCTGACATAACAGGCTTAACATATGCTTGACAATTTGAAATTATCTAAGAAAATGAGGATACCAGATACATTATAAGTTTAGGACTCTTTCCAATTTATGGAAACCTAGGCCTTGTAAATTTTTGAAACACAAGACAATTTCTCCAGTTATGGATATATATTCCTACTGTCATCCTTTCCTTTTTTCTTATGTTGCATGGGCACAGGTACATGTGTTAATGTTTGACATAGGTGTCAGATTCCTCATGCCATGAAGAAGAGTGTTCGACAACTCAGCAATATCAAAAGACAACCAAATCCAACAATGTTTTACTCGTAGTCCATTTCATGATGAGGAGCAGGGGATATAGCCAATTACCTTAGTTGGCTGAATACATAGATATTCTGAAAGACACTGACATTTACAAAGTTCACATTTGCCTACTCAGAACCAAAATGAAGATCAAGTCTTGATTAATAAACAAGAAGAAAGAAGTTAAAATTATCTGCATTGATCTGTGTATCGATATGTGTCCAGCACGGAGATGCCATTGAAACAGAAGAATGCATGTAAAATAGCCTTTTTTGTTTTTATTTATGGGGAATGCCCACAAACTTGTCTAAACAGGTGGGAACCTAGGAAATATGTTAGGAAAGTACCTTGGTCCAACGCTTGAATGTATCATAGGTACCAAACTGCAGGCCAGCATAAGGAATAATTTCAACCAATGTGGGGGTCAGTCCAGCATATAGTCCTTGAAACCCACGGGTTTTCAATATGTCAACAAGGGCAGATCTCATGGAAGGATAAACCTAAAAGTTAAAAGAAAACGAGTTTTCAATATATCAACAAGGGCAGATCTCAGGGAAGGATAAACCTAAAAGTTAAAAGAAAATCAAGAAGGTGTTTCAAGGAATATTTTAACCGGCTTTTAAACATAGAGAAGCAAAGAACTAGAAGAAAATCCTAGCGAACAAAATTGAATTGTAGGGACTGCATACTCGAAAAAGACAAGTCATATTTTCATTGCTCAGACAATTCCTTAGGTTCAGATTCCTCATCAATGTACTTTGTGGTTTAGGTTTGACATGTGAATGAGAAATCTAAAACATCAAGAAGAGAATTGGGATTATTTTTCCACTTATACATTGAAAAATATAAAGACTATCCATTAAGTTTATGTTCTGACAAAAACGTGAAAAGAGGACTTCAATACCAAAACTCAGCCCCAACCTCTTGGACACAACATCTATTTACAACTGCAACTTCAGCCCCAACCTCTTGTCCTTTAAAAAATGTCCTTGAAAGTGTAAATTCTGCCAAATGTTTTCGCCATCTTTATAATAACAACCTTATATATAATGCATCTATTTAATTCTATGGTATTTTGTTATTTGGAGAAGATTCTAGTTAGGTTAATCAAAACAACCTTGCAAATAATCATATGAATGTTTCGTTATGGCATATGTGTGAACAACAAAAGCGTCTAGTTCTCATGTAAACTTCCTGAACCTTTTGCTTTCTTTTTATTTATTGTCTTCTCCTTTTCATATAGACAACTTGCTTGGCTTGTAAAAAGAGGAAACGACAGATGACACTTGTTTAGCAATAAAATTTTGGTCTTTCACTACACATTTTAAACAAATTACCAGATCCCTCTGGAAAACACGCATTTCTTTCTCGAAATGTGGCTTATAAATAATCATATATCATTAAACTAGAAGAAATATCATATATCATTAAACTAGAAGAACTATTGGGAAAACTCTAAAAAAATAATACCTTGAAGATGGGCTGTAAAGATGGCGCGGCACAAACAAAATTTTTTAATACCAAACTCTTACAAACCATAGTGGCTTTACACCTCAATTCCTTTTGAAATCTCAAATAATAACATAGCATAAGAAGATCCAGTAGAGACACAGGATTAAAATGTAATTTGAGCATATTATCATGTGGCTTGAATGGAATACCTTTGGCTCGCCTTGTGAAGCTAAAATTGTGCGCAGAAGATCAAATGGATATGTTCCGACTGTTGCTGCACACCCAGCTAAAGCCCCACTTAAATAGGATAGGTAAGGACTCAACTGAATATGGTCCTCTGAAAAAATCAGTGTTAAGGAATTTGTAAGGATAAAGCTGAAGAACAAAATGACCACCATAACAACTTGTGGAGAACATATATTTTGGGGCGGGTGAACTGGGCGTCAATCCCTAAGGCCATAGTGCAAACAACAACAGAAAGACTTCTTCATTCAATATGATACTAATCTTTTACTAAAATCCATTCAATACCATACCTATTAGTAGATACTAAGGGGGACTATGTCATCCATCAAAAAGGAGGGAACATGTTCCAAATAGACCTCTATAGTCTACAAAAGGTACTAGTAAACCAAAAAGAGGCATGGCATTCCACAAAAATCAATTGAATAGTGAACCACTTGCAGCAGATAACTTTGTAGACTAAATGAAAACATGTGTCGATCCTAAGCCTAGTAGAAGCTAACCTAAAGCCAAGAAATGCATATTGTAATAATTAACGAAGGTCCCAAAGTTAAATCTTCTGACATTGTGCGCTAGTGAATGGGAATTCCTTGTTAACCCTATCCTACAGTTCACACCGCCCGCCCCCACTCCCAGCTCACCCCAAAAAAAAAAAATGCTTTAAGTTCTTCAAAAGGTAAACCTGACTTGGATGATCCAGCTGCAAATGTCTTCAACTTGTGCAACACCGTAAATTGAATCGCTGTATAGGGCATGACCATTAGGAGTGCCGGTACATTTCCCTTCCAAAATCCCTACAATAAAAATTTTTCTTAGATGTTTTATGAGCATCTAAAAGAGTTCATACTTGAAAAAAAATTTTGCTAAAGACAAAACCTTATGTTCATAAACATTTGGGAGGCATTATAACCAAATAAAAAAGGAAACCCCACTGTCAAAATAAATCAAGTCCTTAATAATCAGAAGACCCAGACCCTGACCAGGTCGAATCAACCTGACCTGACCAGATCCAATCCGGAAATATAACATAACATAATATAGTACAATATAATATAATATGAGAAAATATTTTATTATATCATATAATTAAGGGAAAATATCTCCATATACCCTAATTTGATGTATGATTTCCCAATAGGCCCACAATTTTGAAATGTACCTAGTGGTACCAATTTTCCCCAAAGTCTTTCTACTAAACTGCTAAACCTACTGAACTACATTTTATTACATGTTTCCATCCCAAACAAATTTCAAAATGGCACAACTCTCTTTCGTATTCTCTCTTTCCTCTTTTCCCTCCTCTACAACTCTCTATTTATGCTCTTTCTCTCTCTCTTGCATACTCCCTCTCTTCCTCCAACCTCTCTCTCTCTCTCTCTCTCTCTCTCTCTCTCTCTCTCAATCCAGCAGCCAAAGGGCTCCGGCTCTCCCTCTCACACCTGCTGCCCTAATTTATGCAAAGTAACGGCCATGACCCACACCCATTGCTTGTGTCATGAGGCTTACATAATAAACATAGTCGATATTTGGGTTCGAGGGTTTTAATGACGGGAAAGTCAAATAACAAAATATACACAGTGTGGGTCGTTTTGGGTTTGGGTCCCATTGTAGAGCTGGAAAGCCTGTAAATTAGTGGCCTCTCCCCAATACATGACTGGGTGTATTTCAACCAAGGAAAACATGAGCCAGGCACTCCCATTACTAACACAGCCCCCATCGCCAAACCTCACTTTTATTGTTCTTGGTATTTCATTCTAAGGCTTTCCCTGTTGCTAGAGATTGTTACTTGCCTTAAAAACACAAAGAAATTAATGGGATTTTACCCTTTTCTTTTGTGTTCTTCTTTGGATATTGAAGCTTGAAAGGTTATAACCCCTTTGATTTGGTAATTTTCCCTCTCCCGACGTTGGGTGGAAAGGAGTAAGATCAAAGAATTTTCCCTTTGGCAGTGTTAGTAATGTGAGAGAGAGCCAGAGCCCTTTGGCTGCTGGATTGAGAGAGAGAGAGAGAGAGGATAGGGTAGAGAGGGCGTGAGAGAGAGAGAGAGACAGAGACCGAGGAAAAAGAGCAAAGAGAGAGTGACAAAGAGGGAAAAGAGGAAAACAAGAGTGAGAAAGAGAGCCCATGCCATTTTCAAATTTGTTTGGAACGGAAACATGCAATAAAACATGGTTCAATGGGTTTAGGGGGCTGGTAGAAAGACTTTTGGGATAATTGATACTGCTAGATACATTTCAAATTTGTGGATCTATTGGGAAATCATACACCAAATTAATTAGGGTGTATGGAGATATTTTCCCTATAATTAATATAATATTATTTTCAACCTAGACCCTAGAAAACCCAGCAGGCCAAGTAAAGTCAATCAGGACCGTGGTTGGCCCAACTCATTTACAGTCATAATATCCATCTATTGGATAGAACTCTTAAGATGGCTACCGCCACCAGAGCTAATCCCCTCTTGTAGACATGTTTTCCAAACCAATACCAATTTGTAACAGCAGTGAAACATCAAATTTCAGGGACACCTAACAAACCTACAAGGAATTCCAACATTGCATATCCCTAAAGTAGACATTAAGACCGCAACTCTCAGATTATTCCGGTTACACCTTCCTTTGCAAAAACACGCGATCTCGAGTAACCTCTCAGCTGACATGTTGGAGGGATGTTTGCAGTCAAGTACACCCATACGACTGTACCATATTTCTTTGAACGCATTATGTAAAGGAAAAGTATACAAAGGGACCATTTACTTTTGATACAGGGAGGTTACAATCACTCATATCCATCAGATTTCAAATCAAATGGTTGTATGAGTGTCATTGCCTAGACTCAAAATTAAAAAAAAAAAAATTCTCAAACTTTGTGACACACCCCAAGCTATCCAATTTGGCATTTAATTGTTAGAAATAATTGTGACCTCCTTGTACCAAAGATAAACAGTCTCACAGTATACAATCCCCTATGTAAAACCGGTGGGCATTTTTCTATACGCTCAGCCCATCTGAGTTCATCACTGGAGTCTCCCTCCATAATAATTGAATTCATGAGGGTCCAAATTCCAACCATCTAGCAGTTGAACCCAGAACTCTGCTTCGCTCAGACTACCACTTGTGATTGGACCCGAAAAGATTTTCAATTTCTGCCCCTGGCAGTCCTATACAGATCCTCCAATACCAATGAGATGTTGCTTGCTAAGAATCCCAAAAAAGGCCAACAAGCCTTTTTTCTTCCCCGCGGCCGCAATGCTCTTACGACTAGATCTTGAACATAGAGCTGTCAGACTGAATCTGATTGGGGATCTGCTCCCCTTGCTACTTCCATCAAAATTTAACTGTATTACAGCAACAAGGGACTGAGGCCATTCCGTTGCCTTATTGGTTTTTGAATAACTTAGAATACACAATCTGGTACCATCGGTTCACAAAATCACCCCAAGAATAGCATTTGAACTCTTTGTAATTCTCACCCAAGAAACAATAAATTTCATTGGGTTTTCATTAGCCCTCTCTATCTCTCTCTCCCTCCTTTTTTTTGGGTGAAGCATCTCCCATTCCTCTGTAACTACAGTACGGCTAGTATCGTCACAGGCCACAAGATTAATCCTTTTTCAGCAACAATGGAATGAATTACATTTAAGAGTGTTCTAAGTTCTATTTGATGATGGCTGTACCATGTACCAAACTTCATCAATGCAAAAAGCCCACATCCTAGTAACCCAGGTGAAAATGTAAAACAGGTGGCGAACTGTTTCTCCATCCTTCTTGCACATTAGACACATTTTAGGTATGGTCTCTCTCTGCTTATCAAATGATTGACAGTCAGAACCCCATCAAGGGTCACGTTGGATGCAAACGCTTGGTTCTTGACAGGCCCAGGGGTAATCCACTCCATTTGCAAATTCCTCACTGAACACCATGTTATGGCTCGATACATTGATTTGACAGAAAATTCTCATTTGGGAACTGGGGACCACATAATTGATCTTCTCCGCAAGCATGAAGAACATCCCATGTAACTCTCTCAGCAAGTTCTTCAATTTTTCCATTTTTTTTCTCTTTAAGGCAGTGTTACATGGACACTGACACAATGTCATTGTCTAATGCATGTCTGAAGTGCTTAGTTCTTCAGCTTAAGATGCTAATACAGCAAAACACCTATGCACAAGCATTAATTTGAATAAAATAATGAAGGTTTTACATGTATAATATATTTCTTCGCTTGTTACATATAAGTTGAAGTGGCAGTGACAGCAGTGACTTCTCCAGCACTGGACCTCCAAGACATCCTTAGATTGAGCTCAACTATGAATTCTACATAACTTTTTTTATTCATTACAGTGTCCCTACATGTCGATATGCGTCAACACACAACACAAGGCTGTCGCGTAATACTGCTTTATGGGTCTTCTAAATGCAGGGATTAGGCTGTTTCAAATCGATTCCTTCACTAACTCCAGCTTTCCTCTCAACCCCATGGCTGTTATTCCTATGGCATGCTGCAGTGGCTGCTACACTGGGTGGTGTGGATTGTGAGAAAAATAATAATTTTTGAAGGAAGGAAAACACCAAAACAAGCCCTAAAGGACCATACCAAAGCTTTGGTCATCTTTAGGCAAAAAACACCAAAATGTACGAAACTCGTGCCACCACTGACGTCCTCAACAACTGGGAAGCAACGCTTAATGCAAGACAACCCACTATATCTCGATCATCACCATGGAGACTACCCAAAGAAGGCCATATCAAACTGAGTTTTGATGGTTGCTTGCTCGGCAACCCCAGCCCCATCGGATTTGGTGGTCTGTACAAGAAACACCATTTCCTTCTCGGAATTCATCGGTCAAGTTGACTCCACGATCTCCAGTAACTGAAGGTGACTCCAAGAATATCATATCCAAGGTGTCGAGATCATCAACTTGCCCATGGTGGCTCGAGCATCTTTTTGAACAAATATTCCATCTATGCAAGCATATGCATACTAGTTTTGTCACACGTGGCGTGAAGCAAATTGAAGCTGAAACTCTAGCCAAAGATAGTGCTGCATTAGGGGATGAGAATGGGACCATTTGGGTTTGAGTGTGGGTCCCACTTTCAGACTTTGTGTATTTACTTTTCTTCTCGCCTCTGCCCAGAAGCAATGCGATAACTCTGATGTATAGAGCATCTTTAGTGTACACCACTTTTTGTGAGGTATAGAGAGCCTGACTTGTGGGACGCAATCTTTAATCGTTGCTTACAATGATCTACACCTAACAAAGTCAACCTTTACTTCAAAAGAAGATCAGCCACTAATATCTCCATGTTCTGGGTCAATACAAATAGCTCAAGGAAGTGAATACTTAGGATTGTTCCCCTAGCCATGTATCTGTCCAAATCTAGTTTTCTACCCATTTCCAATCTGAATTCTGATCTTGCTAATGAAGGTGGATCGACATTCATTAATTCCTCTCCATCCTCACAAGTCACCTCCCTAGTATGGTTTCACAAACCATCCTGAGTTATTTCTCCAATATTTTGCTCTATATTACTTGTTTCCATGTGAAACCATCCTGAGTTATTTCTCAAATATTTTGCTCTATATTACTTGTTTCCAAAGGTGGTTCATTGAGTGTGAAACCACCAGCATCATTTTGCTAGCACTGTCGGATTCATTCCTTTGATAATTCAGATTTCTCGCCCCCATTTGTTCGTCAAATTGCACAAACAGCCCCACCTCACCAAATGGAATCTTTGTTCCTCAATGGAGTCCCCTCTTCCTCAAAAGCTTTTAAATTAGTTTTGCTACTAAAGAAGGTACGTCAAAAAGGACAAATAATAAATAGGCAACTTTGAGTGGCTACATTTTCTGAGGGTAATGCGCCCTCCCATAGACAAAAACCTAGCCTTCCAAGATGCTCTCTGAAATCTTTCAGTGACTCCTTCCCTCTTTGCTTCGGCTGGCTCACGTTTGCACAATGGCAATAGAAGGCATTTTTTTTGTAACTTATCCGTCCTACTGTAAACATTTTTTTTTTATATGTTGACTGTGCATTGAGTAAGGATGCAGTACAACATACAAAAAATGGGCTACCGCAGAATGGGAGCTCTATACCAAAAAATAGGCAACCCACAAAATGGGTGCGCTGCACAAAGCCACCAAGTTGGTGGCATTAGTCAAAAAATGCTATACAAAGCATGGAGAACAAAAAGCAAGAGACAAGGGCAGGCTGCAGACAGAGATGTCAGACATGTTCACTCTAACCTCATGCCATGGTACAATTGGGTAACACGATCAGGCCATGGTGCTCGATCTCTGCTCGAACTCAAAACCATTGCCTTTATCTCTACTTCCTTTATCTCTACTTCTTGGAAGAGCATTTCTAACCCATCGACTTTCCTGAGTTATTAATATCGATCATAAACAATCAAAGTCTTACTCTACCTTTGAGGCATTTTCTAAAATATTTTATGATCACAGCTTCGGATTGCTCTCTGTCATTGATACTTGAAATGTTTTCAGAGACAATGACGATCTGAATAAAGATGCTTCAACCTTCCGCCATTGGCTGTGGTATGGAAGGACTTAGTGAAGAGATTCCCATGCATCTACCATGTAATCCATGATCTTTGATGCCAAAAGATTTCCTCCATTCTTAAACAATACTATGCAAAGCTCCAAGCTTTGTTTGAACTCCTCAGAGGTCAGCTCCATTCATCGTCTATTTTATGTAATTGAACTATTTTCTCCAGCAAGATGGTGATTTCGTGGCTTTAATATTTCCAAAATACCATTTATTCCAAGCTTTCAGTCTATGCATCAACATCAGCAGTTTTCACATATTTTAGCCTGCCCATCCCTCTACCTCAAAGGACAACCATCAATCATCAAGTAAAATTGGACGTTGCTTGTTCTCCAACCACAATAACTCAACTTAACGGTCGTAGGTATTCAGCAATATTGAAAGGTGATCACAGACTGGTTAGGAGAGAATGTCTCTGGGAATTTGTCCTGTAGGGGGCTTAGTGGAATGGAGACATACTATCCAATTCGATCCAAAAATATCCCGTTTTTGGGTCTATTTACTCCATATACTGCTGAGACAGACCACTGAAGATTATTTTCAAGACCTTGAAACAACAATGAGATGGGTTGATGGACCAATTTGCTCTAAACCTCTGTTTACAATTGAGGGTGGTGACCAGATGCCGGCCGAGGCTCATTAGCTGGTTTTGCGCACCAGCAAGTTGGTCTCCATCCCCATACTGATCAATAACCTTTAACTATGGTTCTTGCATTTTTATGTCAAGCAGTATTAGCACCGCAGGTTTGTATTTCCTTTCAAAACACTTAAAACTTCTATTTTCTTTGGGGTCTCCAGACCCCTGACGAATCTATTGTGACTGTATGCCTCTTCTAACAAGACTTCTTCCTCACAACTGCTGCTCGAACATAAGTCCATTCCTGTCGCAGTTGATTTCATATGTGCGATTCTTCAATTCTCTGCTTACTTTGCCTTTACCTTGCCATCGTTGGCACTTTGCTGCTAAACCTTTTCCGATACATCTTCTCTTTTCCCACATGGTTTGAAATGCCTCTACGATATCATCCATTGTACCATCATACAGCAGATGCATAGCATGTAGCATGTTCTTCAATTGGATCAACACCTTTCAATCTAGATAAAAATTTTTCATCCAAATGGATTTTCAATGCCCCATCAGCCCCACCTATCCTTTTATCCATTCCAACAAGTTAGAATGTCCCTGACACGCTTTCACATCAGTTCTAGTTTTAATGAAAAAATACAAAGGAAGGGAAAACAAAAGGGTGCATTGTGTGTGTGTGCGTGGCATATAATGCAGAAACCTACCACTCTTTTTGGCATGTAAGTTGGCTAGCATGAAGTAACGAGAGGCCAAAGCCAAAGGAAAACAGAGTTAGGTTAGGAACTCATCCGATAAACGAACACTAATGTTAGGTTTGTTGGATGTCTTTTGGTAGCACTCAATAGTGAAGCCAAAGAACAACACCTACCTTACTTCCATAATCATGGTGTGCATGAGTTGGTTTACGTGAAGCCAATACATGCCAAAGCCAATATCTAATCAGGTTTCATAACTGTCACCTTAGTAATATGAGACTAGGGCTGGCAACAGGCCTGGACCTAGGCCAAACCAGGCATTGGCCCAGCCCTGATCCCTATAGTGTCGGCCTGCCCTACTGGGCCGAAGAGGCCCTAGCCCTGGCCTTGTTAGGGCTAGGCAAAGCCACACACAATCAAAGGAAAACAAATGATAGGCTGGTCTGAACCGGGCTGGCCCTGTCATGCCCTGACCCCATGCCTGGCCATTGGGCCCTAGAGCCACTTTTTCTGGCCTAGGCCCTAGTCTTTTAGGGCCAGGCCAGGCTGGGTCACCTGGCCTATTTCCAGCACACTTATCTTTCCTCCAGTGAGGAGTTGGGACAGTTTCAATAGGGTAGTATGGCATATTATAACTACAGGAGCAACATTGGAAATGTACATTTCAAATAGTAGTAATACTTAATATTGAAAATGTAAACTTCATCTCGTAGGAATACTTTAGCCTCCACTATTAGAATCATAGGACATTTTAGCCTTGTGGTTGTGTTATTTTTACATACATGTACATTTTGATGAAAAAACAATAATATATATGCGCATTTTATTTCCCATTGTGCTCAATTGGTTACAAACAAAGAAAGTTTTTGGTTGAGACTTAGAGCAGTTTGCAGGAGTTGGGTATAAATTAGGGACTTGTACAGTTATGCATGGAGAAATAACAACTTAGATTTCTCATTCTGCCCGAGTCCATCAAAACCATGTTGGGTTATGCAACAATGCTCTTTTTGGTTGTGAGCATTGTTGTTGGGTTTTAATTTAGGATCTCCTGAAGTTCTGCATGATGACACTACAAGTGAGACATAGATTGCATCTAATCTGAATGTCGTGAGTGCACAAAAAGAAATTAAGCTAATTGCCACATAATTAGCATGGCATTGGCGTAGGAATTTATGTCTCCCACATGCATCATCATAGCTTCAGCTGGAAGATTTCCAATTGGAAGGAAATATCATAGTTTGACATGGATTTCTTGCTGAATCACATTTTGAAAAGGGATATTTATCAAAATACACATAACAAATCAACTATTTAACATTTACACATATCTTTTGATTTAATTTCAAAATACCCATCAAAATACACATAACCATGAGTTGGAATAGTTCAAAAAGGATAAACTGTTGCATTATTGAAAAATTAGGTATATTTTGATTTTGATAATTTCCCTTTAAAAATTAATTAGTTGGACAACGCCAATTGACTAGATACAGGATAAATTTGGGGGGAAGTACAAAGCGCATCACTCTATAATTTGCATGTTTTGTACAAATGTTAATGTAGCAAGGAGAGACAGTCATTTTATACAGAGCGTCAATGTGAATGTTTTATACGGAGGAGGTAAAGTGCAAGTATTTCATTGTATCATATTTGAGGAGAACAAATAATCTAAATTTAATAGTTAAAGAATCCAAATAAATGTGCAGTTCAGCTCGAGTGCAAAGTAATGCACAAACACAACTTCAGAACCTACAAAAATAAAATAATTTAAATAGAATAGTTAACAGTAAGATAATATTAAAGCATTATAAATCGTTTCAAACATACTCGTAGTCTTTCCTCTCTATAGATGTCTTTAGTCGCTTGCAAGATCCCTGTATATTTTGATGGTCCATACACTCCTCCGTGAGGTAAAGCCCAAGAGGATGTAGGCTCCAATTGGACCTGGCAATTACATAAGAAGCAACGAACCCCATCAATCTTGCATATATGGAACATGATAGACTAAATGCAAATCCCGATAAATTAAAATCAATCAATGAAACATAACATCTTGATCTCGATGGTGATACAAGGATTAGCTACTAGAAAAAATACATGATCACTTGTGACAGATTGTTTCTTTTCTAATAACATGTAGACATCACTTGTGACAACCGATCCCACTCCCGGCATATCCTTTTTCTCGAATCAGGTTCCCGCATCATACCGAGGAGCGGTAGCGGTGAGGGCAACAAATCCGCTTCGCTGCTCCTCTTTTTCCTTTTTTGTGAATACCCTGTTATGTAGTAAGTCAAGCCCCTATAGTAGGATGTCATTTTGGTCCGTGGTTCGATCTAGCAACGCATTCAATCTGTGGCACTGGACTGGTTCAGCTGGGCTTTCCCAGTGTCCCTTCGCTGCGGGTGCTAGCTACTGACTGGCACCTACCGCTTAATTCCCCGCTGCTGGAGAATGAAACGGGACCTATGTGAAATCCTTGTAATTACATGTGGAGTATCTCTCCCTAGTCCCTTGTACTACAGTTTGTCGGAAAGCTGCTTCATGCAAAATAACTGGTGATAATAATCAAGGACCTCAAAATGTATTGACTGCATTTATGATTGGATTACACTGAGGATGGTAACTCCAGGATAGAGATTTCTGAACATGAAGGACATAACTGATATCAACCATATTTACAAGGGTATTAGTCAGATGTCGAGCTGTAGAGAGAAGATTCAGCAAGGAGATGCTACAATTAAGTATAATTAGTTACTCAGAGAACAGAATCCAACATTTGGGAACCACTTCATTAAGGGCAAATAACTTTACAAACCAGAACATAGGTGAAAAGATTTGCAGCAGATCATGAATGGAAAAGCAGGAGATGTGCTAGCTCAAAATCTAAATTTGTATTGCTTGATCAAATTTATCATCTATATTCTCATTGTACAAAAAGGCTACTATTGTGGGGTTTTGTAAAATATGGTCAAACGTATTATTATGCTTTTCATATCAAAGAAAATGAGCATTTGTATCTTTTGAATGTTTTGATGACTGTACAATAGATTCAAAAAAATGGAGACTGTATAATAGTCGTATGAATTGTATCTCAAACTTCCATGCCATGAAATCATGATGCAAGATATCATATAATAGTTTCCAGCGCAAGTAGCAGCTTAAATAAGCCCCCATCAGTCCATCATAACTTAACAAAACATTGAACAAAATGAGAAACGGACCAAGAATGATGGGGAGCAAAAGCACAAACACTTTTTATATATTAATTTAGTGTCACCATTTCTTCAAAAAAAGGGTAAAAAAAATTCATATGTGATGCTCCCCATTGCTAAGTAAAACATTGCACCTTCCCATTCTCTCCTTTAATTGAAAACCTAAATTTTGTGATGTGTGTGCTCCAAACTTCCAACCACAATTCTATATTTCATGGTTAATGAGGTTAAAATTCTAAAAATGCAGAATCAACTTAGACCAACCATTCAAGAAAAAGAAGAAGGAAAACAAAATAAACACAAAAACTCACTTGAAACCGAATCTTGATGACATCAAGAGGTGATGTTATAGTGCGAGAAATGCCACCAGCTATTGCACCAGCAGTCGCATCTATAAAAGCACGTTTCAGCTGCCCAGGCTCTTCCATAACCCAATGAACCTTCAATTTAAACCCTAGTTCACCCAACAAATGAATCAATACCCTCAAATTAAATCCTAATTCACCCAACAAATGAATCAATACCCCCGAATTAAATCCTAATTCACCCAACAAATTAACAGATAAAGCAAACAAATGAATTAGTGCAAATGCTGAAAGCAGCCATTAAAACTGATATTAAAAGTAAATTGAAAACTAAACAACCATTCCATCGGTTGCTGAAGTAAACAAATCCATTACCAAACAAGGGAAATATGGAATAGAAACAATAATACGATGCCAAAGGAAAGAAATCTAAAGCCTCTGAAACAATCAGAAAATATAGAACTTCACTAACCTCAGGTAAAATAAATAAAAAACATACGAAATGGATCATCATAAAAGACTCATTCCAAGAACAAAATAACCAAAACAAGGAATAAAATTTCAAGTCAATCTCTATTTTCAACTGGTCTGCCTCAAACTAGAAGGAAAATAGACCAATGAAATATCAGAAAAATAAATAAATAAATAAATAAAAATAATAATCTCTCAATAGAACAAAACTTGAGCAACTAAAATTCCTAATCTGTAGTAATAAATCCAAACAGCTTACAATCCCAGTTTAGAAAGATGTTGCAAAAAGAGAAGCAAACAAAAACACAGTTGCATAGGAAGAAAAGAAAGTTCGGTGTACCTTTGAATTCGAAAAGAATTAGACCGCCATTGTCATGAAGGGAATGCCTAGGGTTTCCGTCTTTTCATATAAATTCGACAATGGCGCTGAACCGTTGAAAATCAGTGTTAATTATGTAATTAATATTTTTTATCTGTCGCATAATTAAAGCATAAAGGAAGGGGCCTCAAAAGAGGGGTTCTGGACGGTCCATAGCGGCGTATTTCGGGTTTGGGAAAGGGTCAAAATTAGTCATGCAGTTTGTTTTTAAGGAGTACAGTGGTCTGCCTTTCTTCAAACGGGGAATTGAAAGAATATGCAATTTTCGTAAAGGGTGCGCAACCCGGGCCCCGGTACCCGGCCTAGGTTGTCCTGATCCTGGCTCAATCCACAGGCTCATCTTGGCTCGGTTTGAACCGGGCTAGGGCCAGCTCTAGACAGGGCCTCTTCTGCCTAGGCCCTATAAGGACTAGGGCAAGGCTGAGCCTTGGCCCCGCATGTTCAAGCCCTAATCGAGTTGGGCGTGACCCTGGTCTTGGCGTAGGATGTTTATTATTTTTTTATTTTTTAAAATTCATAAAAAACTAACAAATAGATAAAAAGCATGAACCATGACCCATTCCAAGCGCGGCCTGAGCACAAAACCATCTCTAAGGGCAAGCTTACTTGCCCAAGTAGAGCTGTTCCGGTCCATGTCAGATGGTTCAGCCCATTGCCAGCCCTCATTTGGGGTATTTAGTCAAGGGTATAACATCGAAATATGGAAGACTTTCGATTCGTGATTATAAATGGTTTGAAAATTAACACTAGGAATCAGCTCTAGGTTTTAATTGGTTTGTTGTTGACATTGGAAGTGCTACATCTTAAAAACTATTTATTTATCTATAAAAAAAAACATAATATTAATATAGGAAAGAAAATGAATTTACTGCTAACATACAAAAAAAAAAAAGAAAATAATATTCATAAAACTGCTTATTTATCCATTAAAAAACAATTCCTACCATTTATTTATCCCTAAAAAAAGGTAAACTATTAACACTGATGAAAGAAAATGAATTTACCGCTGACTTACCCAAAAAAATGTAGAAAATTAACGCTATAAAACCACTTATTTATCGATAAAAAATGGTAGAATATTGACACTAACGAAAAAAAAATGAATTTGTTGCTGACTTACCAGAAGAAGGTGTAAATTAATAATGATAAAAGATAATGAATTTAAAGCAATTTTGGGCCCCCAATACCTTTACAAAATATTCCTATGATCCCTTTTTTTTAGACTTAGGTGCAGAGTTTTTCACAACCAAAAGTCTCCTAAGTTTCTAAGAGCTAAAATTGTAGACCATCATGACGGTGAGCAGTGGCCGTAGGACTATTTTGTGCATTTGTATTCACGGCCAATACACTTCGTGGGACTTGAACTTTTCTAAGATTATTTTTAATTACATCATTTAAGCGACAATAAAATTTTGAAGTCTTATAACCTACCAGATTTGACAATGGATTACTCATAATCAATATTAGAAAAAAAATAGAATGAGGAATAGACTAAAGTTTTTTTTTTTTGGTTTTTTTGTTTTCTTCATTTTAATTTTTACTTAAAAGAAAAAGTTTATATAAGTGCAAGGCTCTAAACAATCAAATTAAAGCACACCTCAATAATTTCATTAGAATAAGTTGTTTCAATGCCCAAAAATCTTCAAATATCATATCGGTCTCAAGATGCATGGACATGAGAAAAAATGGATTTCAAGTTTTGGAAATAGGATTTCAAGTTTTGGAAATAGTGCATCTTATAATACATTTTTTTAGTGTCAAATTTCAATATTTTTAAATGTTCATAGTTCTGCTCGATCTATACTATTTTGAAACTTTAAATTTTATAATTAGAGATGAAAATAAATCTCAGAACATCACAAAGATTTTCAGTATTGAAACAAAATCTTTTGACATTATTTGAAGGTGCGCCTTAATTTGATTGTTTAGATCCTCGATCTTATATGAACCACATACTTACTTAAATGATACTACTCATAATACTTGTGCTGCACGTAGGAATGAAATAAGCAATCACATAAATGATTGTGTAAATGTGCGATTAAGAGTACATAGAAAGACAATGAAATTTATGATATCAAAGTTTTAAAAGAACAACTTAGAACTACAAATTCCCAAATTAATTTGAATTTCCATACCACCAAATATTTGAACTAAATATTAAGTAAATTGAATGTTTGAACATTTTCAGGATTGTTCAAAATTATTACTTAAAAATGTCATGCCCACAGGCATACCAAGGCTGCACACAGATATGCGTATGCATGTACATGGCCGACGCATACCTAGCATATAAACATGCATATGTTTTATGTATGGACATGAATTGCTAGTTTCTCTAGTAAGCATATAGATAGAATTTTAATGTCGTAAGCATATGCGTCATAAAAACAAACTTTTACTTCATTTCTCCCTATTTTCCATGTCAATTCGGTTCTCATTGTAATTGTTAGATTTTCTAGTAACATATATTCCTAGGCCAAATTTAGGTGTTATTTTTAGTTGGGATATATTTCACAATGCTACAAAAGCTTGGTTTTTTAGTTATTTTGAGACATGCAATGCGTAAAATAGTCTTCTCACAATGCTGCAAAAGTTTGGATTGCCTTAATACTTTCCTATGCTTCTTTGCTTTCCATTAATATCATAGAGGTGGAGAGAAGCCATTGATGACATACAGACAGAGAGAAGCATGAGTTAGACTTCCTCGCATTCGATCGGTGAGTTAAATTACCGTGAAACTAAATCATCAATCAAAATGAGATGTATAATACCATGAAAGTAAGCCGAACCAAGAATAATATGCCCAAAAAATCATAAACCAAAAATAAGTTTCAATAAATAACATATTTAATATATGAATCATCTTATATTATTTTTTAAGAACATTCTTATTGTATTTTTTTAACTATTTTAATTTATAGTATTTTTTATTGAAATATAAATTGTTTCAAAATTATAGTATTTTTTATTGAAATATAAATTGTTTCAAAATTATAGTATTTTTTTCGCTTCTAAAGGAAAATTGTTTCATACGGGCTGGACCGCATTTCTACAATATGTGGTCTCAAAGTATGAAGCATACCTCTCAAAGATGGATGCAAATAGGTGGTCCATCTAAAATCAATTGAAACTAATGGCCAAAATGTTTTTTTAATATAATTATTATTTATAATTTTCATTTTTTATTTATTTATTTCATATTCATCATCTTCATTTTAGAGATTACTATGTTATTCAATAATACATCTCAAAAATATAATTTTAATAGGTGACTCATTTCTACATGGACTCATATCAAATATTTGCCAATTTCTCAAAACTCCACCAGTTGTATCCTTTTATTGATATTCATATTTATTTATTTATTTCAAAACTTGAAATCTATGTTTTTCAAACTCATGTTTCTCTGTTTTGGGGTATGTTTTTATGGAGATGGATTTAGGGTATGTTTTAGGATAGGTACACAATTCTCTCTCTATCTCTATATTAATTTTTATTCTCCTACTAAAATAGGTGTTATTCTCTATCTTTATCTCTCCTTATGATAAAAAAAACATAAATAACAATTTTTTTATCACTGCAACCATAAATATATATATTTATAGAAAACTCATTAGTATTGTGAAGTAGAGTAAAAATTTGTAATTATTTTCATTGCTTGTAATTTTTGTTTATTATTTTTTACTTCAAATAGAACACTCATAAAACAAGACCATGTACAAATTAATTCAAAGCAAGTACTTATGAAATTAAAAATAAAAAATAAAAAATAAAAAATATGTGTAGCTTAGGAAAAACAAGGGTTCTCTTGCCTTTAAAGATTAATGTATTTCTCAATCTTCATAAAATGGGAAGAATACCTAAAAAATCCAAAAAAAGACCATGCAGTAAACAAATAAAAATAATTACTATGACTTACCTTCAATATAAACACCTAAAAAATGTAAATAACACCTATAAAAATACAAACCAAGGTAACGGAATAAATAAATAAAAAGAATTACTACGACTTATCTTCAGTATAAACACCTAAAAAATTCAAACAAAGATAATAGAAAAAATAAAATAAAATAAATTACTATGACTTACCTTCAATATGGGCTTTGTTTATGATGCAAAAAAAAAATAAAAATAATTACTATGGCTTACCTTCAATATAAATACTTAAAAAATACAAAGAACACCTAAAAAAAATACAAACCAAGGTAATTCAATAAATAAATAAAAAGAATTACTACGACTTACCTTCAATATAAACATCTAAAAAATGCAAACAAAAATAATTTAAAAAATAAAAATAAAAATAATTACTATGACTTACCTTGAAAAATTATTGCAATAGCAAAATTTAGATATAGAAAAATAGGTACCAACCTTTCTTTCTATTCCCACAATTAAGCACATAATACTAAATGAGAGGTTGCTTCCTAACAAATGAGAGAAAGATGTAGAGAGAGAGTGGGGCGTACATGTATTGAGAGAGGTTATCATGGTTGGAAACAATCTTATATATGTATGCATATATTTCTCTCTCTTTAATTTGAGCTGAATAAAGGTACCAATTTTAGGAAGTTTGAATAAAAAAATAAGAAAAACAAAATTGGGCATGCATCCATTAAGACAGGTTATCATGTTTGGATAGGGAGTCGTCTTGGATATGAAAACAATTTCAGAAAGTTTAAACCAAAACATAAGGAGAGAAAAAAAAAAAGTGGGGTGTGCTTCCATTCAGAGATGTTATCATGTTTGGATGGGGAATCTTCTTGGATATGGAAACCATATGGATATATATGTAGGTTTATCTTTCTCTCTCTTGAATTTGAGTTTGGGATAGCTACTTATTTTAGGAAGTTTGAATTGAAAAAAATATCCTATTTCTCAAATTAATATATTGGAACAATGTCTCTCTCTTTTTAAAATCTCTATTTTTTCCCTCTCCTAAAATCTCTAGTTTTTCTTTTTCTTTCTAAAATATATACTCTTCACTCATAAAATATAAGGAAAGGGTAGAGATCATATTTTCTCTACTTTTCACATACAAATTTTAGGAAAATGTTGGATAAAAAAAATTATCCTATTTCTAAATAAAATATGGAAACAATCTCTCTTTCCATGAAATCTCTACTTTCTCTCTCTTCTTAAAATCTCTACTCTACACGCACAAAATTTTAATCTCTC